CTTGGCTTGTGTGGAGGTTGCATGGAATGTCTCTCTCATGTGCAATGCGACCCCTGAAAAGACTAAGGGCGGTCTTGGATAGGTGATGCGATGCTAGTGGCTCTCGCAAAAAAATATAGTAGCTAGGGGTCCGGGTGATGCCGCCTTACCCCAAGGATGCCGCCGGGGCTGCCCAGAGCCGCTAGGCTTAGTGAAAAGGTGCGTGGCCCAATGGATGACGCTTGGCCTGCGCACGATAAGAAGACAAACTCTCAATGAACTCTATGGACTGCTTGTGTATTGGAAGGAGCAATTGCCTGGTCAGACTTAACCGAATCGAGAAAACGCCACGAGCGCCCAAAGAGCTACCATCTTGACGCGAGAGCGGAGCTACATCCCCCAATGTAAAGCCCTCTTGCAGAAGGCCGACCCCCATGCATCTCATAGCACTAGGTGGGGGTGCCCCTGGGACAAACGACCCGCGCCGAGAGCCTGAGCGTGGGCGGGTCGAGCCAAGTGGGACCCGCAGTGGGGTCGACCAAGGCTCGAAAGTCCTTCAGGGTACGGCCCCTACACCGTTTGCGCGTTGAGCTTGCCATAATCGATGCACAACCGCAAATCCTTGTTCTTCTTCCGGACGAAGAGAACAGGAGCACCGTATGGCGATGAGCTAGCCCGAATCCAGCCTTTCTCCAGAAGGTCGTCGAGTTGTGCCCGTAGCACACTTAACTCTTCCTCGCTCATTCGGTAGATGCAACCACGMGGAGGYACAACCCCGTCCTCGAGGATGATCTYGTGGTGGATGGGCCGATYCGGTACTACTCCGTGTGGGCCTTCGAACAYRTCGCCGTAGGCGTCGAGAAMCTCGRTGATGCGTGGGTCCGAAGATGAGTCCGTCGATGAAGCGTCATGGGRCGGGAGGGCGTGGAGAAAACACACCCCSATCTCCTCGATGTCGTCTCTGATSATRGAAGCTCGCATGCTTSTGGCGGACACCACGTGGCAGCTGATCGAAGGGTGAGGAGGAGGCACCGTGCATGGGACTAGTACTCCGTTCAGATCACGAACGTGAACGGTGCGGCRGTGGAAGTTCACCGGGTGATCCTCGCTTCGCAGCCATGACATGCCCAAGATCATGTCRAATTTRGTGTCCAAAATATCGAASGACACCGCCTCGCTTGCATGCGGGGCAAAGTACACGGGGACGTCATCTATGCACCGGTCGATTGACTTGTGCRTGTGACCRTCTGCCAACGTGACTTGCGTAGGCTGRGRCTTCCTCCGGACGSGTGGGCCAAGGCCGGYGCGTACCATAAAGTCYTGGCTCATGTAGTTGCGAGATGCTCCGCAATCGATCAAAGTGCTGCAGGTCRCCTCTCCGATCTGAATGCGTACATATAACAATGGTGCGTCGATGTCGTCGTACCGTTGTRTCTTGAACTCGCGGTCGATCTTCWCAATGTAGTCGTGAAGGTCGACAACCTCTACWTCGGCGTCCATCAACGGAGTTGGTACTGCAGTGTGCAAGTAATCCCGCAATTGTGCCATGAGCACGTTRCAATGMGGTTTCRGCAATCGACCGGWCCGGGGAAGGGGCATCCATTGGAAGTCCGCAAACGTCAACGGGTCGAGCTCTTCAAGTCTTGACCATGTCGTCGAATCCCCGGCTATAGATGGCGGCGAAGCTGCCGACTCGATTGCCGATGGTAGTGAAACCGTGCATGCGGTAGATTGTTGCACGTGGAGTGGTTGGTCCAACGGTGGGACCAAGTGGATAGCATAGTCCTCGTAAGTGTACCGAGAACTTGCGAGATTCGCATCCTCCCCAGATGTGTAGGAGGCCGCTAGCAAGGCGGCCGAATCTGGCGGAGTGAGAGGTGGAGTCGCCTCGCCTCCTGCGCAACTCAGTTTTCCCGAGTTGATGAGAGGCCGAACATCCTCCTTGCCTTGATCCGGGCATTGGGAGGTCTTGTGCTTGGTGCTGTTGCACCAATAGCAGCAACTGTAGCGGTCGCGCCACTTGTATTCTGCCTCGGTCAAGTGAAACTTGACCCATGGTGTTGGCTGTCCGTTTCCGGCCGGCGATGCGGTTTTCGCCTTCCCGTTTCCTCGGGACTTGTTGTTGCTTCGCGGCTGGACAGCAGCCATCTGATTTCCCTCACGTGACGCTTGGGTGGCTGCCGGGTCTTCCACAATGTTGTCCGGTTGGACTGCAGCGACATGCTGCGGACGCAGACCAGATTTTCCTTTCTCCACATAGGTTGGTTGCCATGCTGATTTCTCGTGTGTAGCTGCCCTGCTGGTCTTGATGATCTCCCTTGCCTCGTCGATCATTTCGGCTAAGGTTGTGTATTGCTCGCGATCACCAAGTGTGAGGCTCAAGGCGGCACATGACCGGTTGTAGAACTCTCGGCGCAGATGCGAAAATGGCAAGTCAAGATCGGGCGTTGCCGCGATCTTTTGCCATTCCGTGAGCCAGTCGCGTGTCGATGTGTTGCCTTGGGTCATAGCGAAGAGGCGATTGATGGCGAGTGTCGGGGCGTCGGCAATGATGAACCGCTTCTTCCATAGCTCTGTCAACTCTTCCCAAGAGATCTTCTCATGAAGATCCGCGACCTGGACGCCGTGAATGGATGCCAGGTGGCTGAGCCAGATCTGGCAACCTCCCTTTGAGTTGAGGAACAATGCGCCAATGCACGAGTGCTCGGGCACGAAAAGAATCCGAAGTTCCGTCGTAAAGCCCTCCCACCAGGGGACTGGGTCTTGATGTGTATAGTCATTGAACTTTTCGATGCGGAATGTCGGCATCTTGTAGTGCTGCGCACTTGTCTTGCCATTGTTGTTGGGCAGCTGGTGCAGTTGCTGAACCTCGGTCTTCAAGGTGTCCAACTGCTTGCTGATGGTCGCCGGTGCAGCGAAGGTGCTGATGTCGCCGAGCATTGTGACTACGTGGTCAACTCGTTCCTCCAACTAGCGGGTAGAGGGTGCACTGCTGGTCTCGCAAGCATTCGGTCTTGGTGCAACTTGCTCCAAGTCTTGTACACGGGAATGAAGTGCCCGTGTAGCATCCTCATGCAAATCCTTGTGGTTCTGCATTGCCCGTCGGAGAATCGCCAGCTCGGACTGCAGGTGGTTACAAGTGTAGACCAACCGGGTCACAAGCTTGGCCATGAATTCCTTGTGCTGCTCCTCCAGTGTCGCGTCGTCGTGCCCCTCGGATGGTTCACTGTAGAAGATCTTGGGCCTCCTTGCGGCGTGTCTGGGTATCTGCTTTAGCTTCGGCTTGAAGTCGCAGCTTTTCAGCTGCTGCCGCCGCTTCAGCCTGTAGGCGGACAGCCTCGGCTGCCACCTGGCGCTGTTCCTCAGCCTCAATCAGTGCGAGCTGAGTCTGGAACCGCTGTTTGTACTCGGCAATAGACTCGTTGGCCAGTTGGCCTGGCATGCCCAGAGCTGAGCCCGTCATGGTGGCGGGGCACTGCTGACGTGGCACCGTGGCACTGTTGTTGCTGACGTGGCACTGTTGCTGTCGTGGCACTGCTGACATGGCACTGCTGACGTGGCACTGTTGCTGACGTGGCACTGCTGACGTGGCACTGTTGCTGACGTGGCACTGTTGCTGACGTGGCACTGCTGACATGGCACTGCTGACGTGGCACTGTTGCTGACGTGGCACTGCTGACGTGGCACTGTTGCTGACGTGGCACTGCTGACGCGGCACTGCTGACGTGGCACTGTTGCTGATGTGGCACTGTTGCTGATGTGGCACTTTGCCAACCCGGAAATGCATGCAAAAGGGGTGGGTGGGAGG